ATCCCAGTCCCCTTTAACTCCATTCCGATCCGCTCTAACTCCGTCCCAGTTTATCCCATTTTCTCCCAGTCACTTCCAGCCTGTTCCCAGTCCATCCCAGTTCATCCCAGTTCATCCCAGTATCCTCTAACTCCATCCCACTCCATCCCAGTCCATCCTAAACCCATCCCAGTCCATCCCAGTGCCCCTAAAACCCATCCCAGTCCCCTTTAACTCCATTCCAATCCGCTCTAAATCCGTCCCGGTTCATCCCATTTTCTCCCAGTCACTTCCCAGCCTGTTCCCAGTATATCCCAGTGTATCCCAGTGTCCTCTAACTCCATCCCAGTTTATCCCAGTCCATCCTAAACCCATCCCAGTTTATCCCAGTCCCATTCAAACCAATCCCAGTCCCTTTAACTCCATTCCGATCCGCTCTAACTCTGTCCCAGTCCATCCCAGCAACTCCCAGTCACTTCCCAGTCCCTCCCAGTACATCCCAGTTTGTCCCAGTGTGTCCCAGACCTTCTGGACGTGGTTGATCTCGTCGTGTTTGCGTTTCTGGTTGCGGGTGATTTTGCGTTCGGGCTCTGCCAGTTCCCCCAGGAACGGCTCCGAGCTTTTCTGCGCCGCCTCCTTCAGGCTCTTGCTGAGCGCCAGACGGTTCCGGTCCACCCATTCGTCCAGCCTGCGGTTAACTGGGAGAACTGGGAGTCACTGGGAGGGTCCCAGTTCATCCCATGGGTCGTAATTCACCCCATTTGTGGTGCACTGGGAGCACTGGGAGAGCCCAAATTCACCAAAATGCATCCAAATCCATCGAAATCCACTCCATCTTTTCCAATTTACCCAGTTTAGGGTTAACTGGGAGCACTGGGAGTTACTGGGAGGGTCCCAGTTCATCCCAGTCCATCCCAGTTTTTCAAACCCACCCGGTTTGTGGTTAACTGGGAGCCCAAATTCACCAAAATCCATCCTGATCCACATAAATCCACTCCATGTTTTGGAATCTACCCAGTCTGTGGTTAACTGGGAGCACTGGGAGCATTGGGAGAGTCCAAATCCATGATAATTCACTGAAATCCATCCTATGTTTTCCAATCTACCCAGTCTGCGGTTAACTGGGAGAACTGGGACTTACTGGGAGGGTCCCAGTTCATCCCAGTCCATCCCAGTCCATCCCAATCTGGTTAACTGGGAGCACTGGGAGGGCCCAAATTCACCAAAATCCATCCAAATCCATCGAAATCCACCCCATGTTTTGGAATCTACCCAGTCTGTGGTTAACTGGGAGCACTGGGACTTACTGGGAGGGTCCCAGTCCATCCCAGTGCATCCCATGGCTCGTAATTTACCCAGTTTGTGGTTAACTGGGAGCACTGGGAGCACTGGAAGGGCCCAAATTCATCCAAATCCACCAAAATCCATCCCATATTTTGCAATCTACCCAGCTGAGGATTAACTGGGAGAACTGGGACTTACTGGGAGGGCTGGGAGCATCCCAGTGCATCCCAATCTGCCCAGTTTGTGGTTAACTGGGAGCACTGGGAGGGCCCAAATTCAGGAAAATGCACCCAAATCCATTGTAATCCATTCCATGTATTACATCCAACCCACCCATTCGTCCAGTTTGCGGTTAACTGGGAGAACTGGGAGTCACTGGGAGGGTTCCAGCTCATCCCAGTGCATCCCAACTTGCCCAGTTTGTGGTTAACTGGGAGCACTGGAGGGCCCAAATTCACCAAAATCCATCCAAATCCATCGAAATCCACTCCATGTTTTGCAATCTACCCAGTCTGTGGTTAACTGGGAGTTACTGGGAGGGTCCCAGTTCATCCCAGTTACTCAAACCCACCCGGTTTGTGGTTAACTGGGAGCACTGGGAGCAATAAAATCCACCCAAATCCATCAAAATCCACTCCATGTTTTGCAATCTACCCAGTTGAGGATTAACTGGGAGCACTGGGACTTACTGGGAGGGTCCCAGTTCATCCCAGTCCATCCCAGTCCATCCCAATCTGGTTAACTGGGAGCACTGGGAGGGCCCAAATTCACAAAAATTCACCAAAATCCATCCAAATCCACCCAAATCCACTCCACGTATTCCATCCAACCCACCCATTTGTCCAGTCTGAGGTTAACTGGGAGAACTGGGACTTACTGGGAGCGATCCAGTCCCTCCCAGTCCATCCCAGTTTGGTTTTTATCCATTCCCAGTCCCTCCCAGTCCCTCCCAGTCCATCCCAGTTTGGTTTTTATCCATTCCCAGTCCATCCCAGTCCCCTCCCAGTCCATCCCAGTCCCTCCCAGTCCCCTCCCAGTCCATCGCAGTCCACCCCAGTCCATCCCAGTCCCTCCCAGTCCCCCCCAGTCCATCCCAGTTTGGTTTTCGTCCCTCCCAGTCCCTCCCAGTCCCTCCCAGTTTGCCCAGTACGCACATCCCACGTAGTGAACGTAGAACTCCTCACGCGCCTCCTGCTCGTTGAGACGGGACTGGATCACCTCGGCCGAGTCTGGAACAAACTGGGACCAGTAAGGGACTGGGATTGAACTGGGAATGGACTGGGAATGGACTGGGAATGGACTGGGAATGGACTGGGAATGGACTGGGACCAGTATGGGAACGGGACTGGATCACCTCGGCCGAGTCTGGAACAAACTGGGACCAGTAAGGGAACTGGGAATGGACTGGGAATGGACTGGGAACAAACTGGGACCAGTAAGGGACTGGGAACGAACTGGGAACGGACGGGAAGGGACTGGGAATGGACTGGGAACAAACTGGGACCAGTAAGGGAACTGGGAATGGACTGGGAATGGACTGGGACCAGTAAGGGACTGGGAATGAACCAGGAATGGACTGGGAACGGACGGGAAGGGACTGGGAATGGACTGGGAACAAACTGGGAATGGACTGGGAACCAGTATGGGAATGGGAATGGACTGGGAGAGACTGGGAATGGACTGGGAATGGACTGGGACCAGTACGGGAATGGGACTGGATCACCTCGGCCGAGTCTGGAATGAACTGGGACCAGTAAGGGAACTGGGATTGAACTGGGAACGGACTGGGACCAGTATGGGAATGGACTGGGAATGGGAATGGAACCAGTATGGGACTGGAAATGGACTGGGACCAGTATGGGACTGGGATTGAACTGGGAATGAACTGGGAATGGACTGGGAATGGACTGGGACCAGTAAGGGAGTGGGAATGAACCAGGAATGGACTGGGAATGGACTGGGAATGGACTGGGACCAGTTCCCCGCCCCCCACCCCCATCCCAGTTTATCCCAGTCCATCCCAGTATATCCCAGTTTATCCCAGTTACACTCACGCCAGCTCCCATCAGCTCTCCTGCACAGATCCGTCTTCCCGATCCCATTCCCAGTCCCAGTCCATCCCAGTTTCCCCAGTTATTCCCAGTTTCCCCGGTTCCCCTGCTCCCATACCCCATCCCATACCCATCCCAGTATATCCCAGTTTATCCCAGTCTATCCCAGTTTAACTCACGCCAGCTCCCATCGGCTCTCCGGCACAAATNCGGCACAAATCCGTCTCTCCGATCCCATTCCCATTCCCCATTCCCAGTTTATCCCAGTCCATCCCAGTATATCCCAGTTTAACTCACGCCAGCTCCCATCGGCTCTGCGGCACAAATACGTCTCTCCGATCCCATTCCCAGTTTATCCCAGTTTATCCCAGTTTAACCCAGTTTATCCCAGTTTATCCCAGTTTACCCATCCCATACCCATCCCATACCCATCCCAGTCCATCCCAGTATATCCCAGTATATCCCAGTTTAACTCACGCCAGCTCCCATCGGCTCTCCGGCACAAATACATCTCTCCGATCCCATTCCCCATTCCCAGTTTATCCCAGTCCATCCCAGTATATCCCAGTTTATCCATCCCAGTCTGTCCCAGTCTATCCCAGTTTATGCACCCCAGTCCATCCCAGTTTATCCCAGTCTATCCCAGTTACACTCACGCCAGCTCCCATCGGCTCTCCGACACAAATACGTCTCTCCGATCTCCACCGCCACCTCCGCGTCCCTCACGTTTCCCGCCGTTGCCGCCGTTCCCCTCACGGCTCCCGCTCCGTTTCCCGCCGTTCCCCTCACGCTTCCCGCCGTTCCCCTCACGCTTCCCGCTCCGTTCGCCGCCGTTCCCGCCGTTCCCCCCGGAGCTCCGGGAGCCTCCGGAGCCGCTCGGGGCCCTCCCGGGGCTCCCCCGGACCCTCCCGGGGCCTCCGCGACCGCTCCGGGACCGCCCGGGGCCGCCGCCGCCATCTTGGAGCGAGGCGGAAGTGACGTCAGGGCGGGCACCGTTGCTAGGAGACGGTGAGGGGGCGGGATTTAAAATGGGGGCGTGGCTTAACATTGCTAGGAGATTTTGAGGGGCGTGGTTTAGCGTTGCTAGGAGACTGTGAGGGGCGTGGTTTGAAATAGAGGCGGGTCTGGCGTTGCTAGGAGACGGAGAGAGGCGTGGTTTTAAACGGGGCGTGGCTTAATGTTGCTAGGAGACTGCGAGGGGCGTGGTTTAGCGTTGCTAGGAGACAGTGAGGGGCGTGGTTTTAAATGAGGGCGTGGCTTAATGTTGCTAGGATATGGCGAGGGGGCGCGGTTTAAATGGGGGCGTGGCTTGACGTTGCTAGGAGACGGCGAGGGGCGGGCTTTAAAATGGGGGCGTGGCTTAACATTGCTAGGAGATTTTGAGGGGCGTGGTTTAGCGTTGCTAGGAGACGGCGAGGGGCGTGGTTTAAGATGGAGGCGTGTTTTGGCGTTGCTAGGAGACGGCGAGGGGGCGTGGTTTTAAACGGGGCGTGGCTTAATGTTGCTAGGAGACTGTGAGGGGCGTGGTTTAGCCTTGCTAGGAGACGGAGAGGGGGCGTGGTTTAAAATGGGGCGGGGTTTGGCATTGCTAGATGGAAAAGGGGGCGTGGTTTAAAATGGGGCGTGGCTTAGCGTTGCTAGGAGATTTTTAGGGGCGTGGTTTAGCGTTGCTAGGAGACGGCGAGGGGCGTGGTTTAAAATGGAGGCGTGGTTTGGCATTACTAGGAGACTGCGAGGGGGCGTGGCTTAAAATGAGGGCGTGGTTTGGCGTTGCTAGGAGACGGCACGGTCCGCCGATATCCCAGGGTGCATTGCGAAGAGGCGGTTTGGGCCTAAAAATTGGGATTTTGGGCCTAAAATTGGAATTTTGGGGACGAAAATTGGGATTTTCCCCCTAAATTTGGGATTTTGGGGGATTAAAATTGAGATTTTTCACCTTAAATTTGGGAATTTGGAGACAAAAATTGAGATTTTGGGGCTTGAAAACTACAAATTTTAGGCCCGAAAATTGGGAGCTTTTGGGCCCAAAAGTTGGGATTTTGGGGCTAAAAATTGGGAATTTGGGACTGAAATTGGCAATTTGAGACTGAAAATTGGGAATATTGATCTGAAAATTAAGATTTTCCCCCTAAATTTGGGAATTTGGGGACAAAAATTGAGATTTTTGGGATTAAAAATTGAGATTTTGGGACTAAAAACTGGGATTTTGGGGCCTGAAAATTACGAGTTTTAGGCCCAAAAATTGGGAGATTTTGGGTCCAAAATTTGGGATTTTTGGGCCTGAAAATTGGGAATTTGGGACTGAAATTGGGATTTTCCTGCTAAATTTGGGATTTTGGGGACGAAAATTGAGATTTTTGGGATTAAAAATTGGGATTTTGGGGCCGGAAAATTGCAAATTTTAGGCCTGAAAATTGGGAGATTTTGGGCCCAAAATTTGGGGATTTTGGGGCTAAAAATTGGGAATTTTGGGGGCTAAAAATTGGGATTTTGGGACTGAAATGAAGGGAATTTCTCTGAGGGGATTTTTGGGGCAGTTTCGGGCACTTTAATGCAATTTTTGTTCATTTTAACCCAAATTTTGATATTTTAACACCATTTTTTTACCATTTTAGACACTTTAATTTAAAATTTTCCCATTTTAACCCAAATTTTGATATTTTAACACCATTTTTTTCCCATTTAAGACACTTTAATATAAACTTTTCCCATTTTAACCCCAATTTTGATATTTTAACACCATTTTTTTGCCACTTAAGACACTTTAATATAAATTTTGGTCACTTTTGCACATTTTTGGTCACTTTTATGTAACATTTGTTCGTTTTAACCCAAATTTGGTATTTTATTCCCATTTTTGGGTCGTTTAAGACACTTTCATGTAACTTTTTCTCCTTTTCCTGTAACTTTTGCTCCGTTCGCCCCAATTTTGGGGCAATTTCAGTCGATTTTGGGTCATTTTCACCATTTTTGGCAATTTCAGTAGATTTTGGGCCAATTTTTCTTATTTTTGGGTCGATTTTGGTTGATTTTGGGTCATTTTCACCATTTTTGGGCAATTTCAGTTGATTTTGAGTCATTTTAACCATTTTTGGGGCAATTTCTGTCAATTTTGGGTCATTTTTCTCCATTTTTGGGTAATTTCAGTCGATTTTGGGTCATTTTCAACATTTCTGGGCAATTTCTGTCGATTTTGGGTCAAGTTCTCTCATTTTTGGGCCAATTTTTCTCATTTTTGGGTCAATTTCACCATTTTGGGCCAATTTCACTCGATTTTGGGTCAATTTTGGGCCAATTTCTCTCATTTTTGGGCCCGTTTCTCTCATTTTTGGGTCAATTCCTCTCATTTTTGTGCCGATTTTCACTCATTTTTCCACCGATTTTCACAATTTTTTCACCGATTTGTTACAATTTCACCATTTTGGGTCAATTTCTCTCATTTTTGGGTCGATTTCTCTCATTTTCGGGTCAATTTCTCTCATTTTGAGTCCATTTCTCTCATTTTTGGGTCCATTTCTCTCACTTTTTTGGAGATTTTCGCCATTTTTCCACCGATTTTCACCATTTTTTCGCCGATTTCTCTCATTTTTCTCATTTTTTCACTGATTTAACCAATTTCACTCTTTTTTATCCATTTTTCCCCTCCTCCAGCGCCGCAGGTTGATGCCGAGCAGGGCGGCGTTGAGGCCGTAGGAGCTGAGGCAGACGAGGCACAGGAACCCAAAACAGCCCAAAATGGCCCCAAAAAAATGTCCCAAAAATGTCCCAAAATATCCCCAAGAATTTGGGGCAATTTCAGTCGATTTTTCTCATTTTTGGGTCAATTTCTCTCATTTTTGGGTGGATTTCAGTCGATTTTGGGCCAATTTTCGCCATTTTTGGGTCAATTTCTCTCTCTTTTTCACCGATTTTCACCATTTTTTCCCATTTTCTCACAATTTCACCATTTTGGGTCAATTTCTCATTTTTGAGTCAATTCCTCTCATTTTTGAGTCGATTTCTCTCACTTTTGTGCCGATTTTCACCATTTTTTTGCCAATTTCTCTCCATTTTTCACCAATTTCTCACAATTTCACCATTTTGGGTCAATTTCTCTCATTTTTGGGTCCATTTCTCTCATTTTTGGGTCACTTTCTCTCCTTTTTGTGCCGATTTTCACTCATTTTTTCGCCGATTTTCACCATTTTTTCGCCGATTTCTCTCATTTTTCTTGTTTTCTCTCAATTTAACCAATTTCACTCAATTTTATCCATTTTCCTGGTCCTCCAGCGCCGCAGGTTGATGCCGAGCAGGGCGGCGTTGAGGCCGTAGGTGCTGAGGCAGACGAGGCACAGGAACCCAAAATGGCCCAAAATGGCCCCCAAAAAATGCCCCAAAATGTCCCAAAATACCCCCAAGAATTTGGGGCAATTTCAGTCGATTTTGGGGTCGATTTCTCTCATTTTTGGGTGGATTTCAGTCAATTTTGGGCCAGTTTTTGCCATTTTTGGGCCGATTTTCACCATTTTTTTCCCATTTTCTCTCAATTTCTCATTTTTGGGTCAATTTCTCTCATTTTGGAGACAATTTCTCTCATTTTTGGGCCGATTTCTCTCACTTTTGTGCTGATTTTCACCATTTTTCCACTGATTTTCACCATTTTTTCACCGATTTTCGCCATTTTTTCACCGATTTTCACCATTTTTTCACCGTTTTTTTTCATTTTTTTACTGATTTCACCATTTTGGGTTGATTTCACTCGATTTTATCCATTTTCCTGGTCCTCCAGCGCCGCAGGTTGATGCCGAGCAGGGCGGCGTTGATKCCGTAGGTGCTGAGGCAGACGAGGCACAAATCCCTGAGGCCGAAGAGCAGCACGGCCCCGAGCCACAGCGAGGCCACCGCCGCCACCGCCGATGTCACCAACAGCGTCACCGAGGCCACCCGGCCACGATACCGACCTGAGGGGACAGTGACAGGTCAGTCCCAGTGCCACCAGTGTCACCAGTGTCACCCCAGTGCCACCAAAACCATTCCCAGTGTCACCAGTGTCACCTCAGTGTCCCCAAAAGGGTCCCCAAACCATTCCCAGTGTCACCAGTGCCACCCCAGAGTGAGCTCAGTGTCCCCAAAAGTGTCCCCAAGGTGTTCTCAGTGACACCAGAATGTCCCCAGTGTCCCCAGTGTCACCTCAGTGTCCCCAAATGTGTCCCCAAGGTGTTCTCAGTGACACCAGAATGTCCCCAGTGTGACCAGTGCCACCCCAGAGTGACCTCAGTGTCCCCAAAAGTGTCCCCAAAATGTCCCCAGTGCCACCTCAGTGTCCTCAGTGTCACCCCAGAATGTCCCCAATGTCCCCAAACCATTCCCAGTGTCCCCAGTGTCACCCCAGAGTGACCTCAATGTCCCCAAACCATTCCCAGTGTCACCAGACTGTCCCCAATGTCCCTAGTGTCACCTCAGAGTGACCCCAGTGTCACCAGTGTCACCCCAGTGCCACCCCAGTGTCCCCCCAGCACGGCCCCGAGCC